TCTGCTGAGCGATTGAAGTTAGGCAATCACGTCAGGGTCATCCATTTATAGCGGACTGCTACACTAGTAAAGCCTTGACCGACTCAGAAATCTCTATGGCAGTATCCACTATATCTGGCTAGACTCCCTGAACTAGCAAAGCTAGAGTGGAAAGAGACGCATTACACAGAACAGGTTTATTACAAAATATCTATATCAAATGGCAGGCGTTTTGATAGTTATCATCAAAGTGAAAAAATGTCGAGAGGGGGGGGGGAACGGAAGAGTGTTTCAAAGATGTAAAAGAGACAGACACAAAGGTCGAGAGTAGGGTAAGGCGGTAAGTGATGGAATATGACATAGAGTGGATTCATGGTAGTTTGAAGTGAGGAGTCAACTACCGGTTTATTGACTTTTTGCCGTATGAGTATACGTTGCCCAGGGTGCACCATGTGGAGGTAAGTCGATCGCACATCCCTTTATTACAAACTATGATCTCGGCGAAAGCGAATAATTACCAAATAAATCTAACGTACTTTAAGCGAACATTAATAACTAAATATTTCTGAACAGAGTTCTACGCGTACGGCCGCACTTCCACAAGCTTCTTACTGTCCTTATTGGCAGAAGATAGCATATGCTTTAAATAAGTTTCAAAAATACAGCTGAGGAGTTTCAATTCACATTCATCTTTATCCAGACCTAATTTATAGATTTGTTCACAGTATCTTACCAAATTAAAGGCAGTTCTTTACTGGTCATGTCGAGGAATGTCATGAAACTCCTCAGACAGGCTATTTTTCTTTGAAAAGCCAAATTAATAATGTTTGATGCTTCAGTCACAAAAGACATTCCAGTGGTGCTCAGTCAAGCAGTTTTTTTCTCAACTAACAAGAAACGCGAAATACGTACCCCACTAGCCTTATTTCTAACCTGAATTATTCTCACTCAATACTGATCTCTTCCAATATCCCTTTCCTCTCCCTTCCCACTTGAAAGTGGCTCTTTTGACATTAACTTTAAGAAGTCCATTAGTTTCTTTGCCTTCTTTTATTCGTTTTCGAAATTGTATTACTGTGTACATACTGATACTTTGACTACTACACGATCCGTTCAATCTGTCATAATCATAAATTTTCGAGCTCTCCAGCTTTATTTATGAACACAGATTTAACTAACTATGTTGGGTATTTCCTAGTGCTTATTTAGATTACAGAAAGCTTACAAGAAATTAGTATTTTAGATTTGTGAGGCCCGATAGTGTAAAGCCTTAGCAATAGTTTAGCTGAAGTAGCATATTTGTCTGGTTCATATTTGTGATTGCCAAAAAGTAAAGCAACATTTCCAAGTTTAATGCAAACCAGACTCTTTATATAGTGGCTGTATGTTATTCTCATTGGAACGGTAAAACGAGGAGGTGAAATTTGAAAGGTGTAAGAGAAGTGTGGTTGGTCACACCCAATTGTCATAAGCATTGCATGCGTTCTAAATCTTGCATTGTATTCCACGATGTTTGTCAGCATCCGCCCTTTCACTTTTAAACAAGCAATTACGGGGCTGATTTCCCCTCTGGCTAATTCAGTTTGATTAAAAAAAGTGATTGGTTCGAAAAAACTTAAATAAGCGCCACTATGCCTCGATTAATTATTAAAATTATGTGTATATTTTTAAATTTACAGTGGAAGGGAAGGATTTTCTCATGTTTTACACCAACACAGATTAGAATAGACGTGCAGATATTTTCTTGCTACCATGGGAACCCTGAGTTATATTTTATACATTCAATTCTTGATAGTTACCTTTAGTTTCAGAATGGGGGTGTGAGATAGACTTACCTCCTCGTGGTGCACCCTGGGCAACATATAATCATACGGCAAAAAAGTCTATTATTTGGCAATTGACTTCTGACTTCAAACTAGCATGACCCCACTGTATGTCATTTTCGACCACTTCCATAGTACTCACCTCACTTTTTTCTCTACCTTTGTGTCTGTCTGTCCCTTTTACGTCTGTAAATCATTATTCTGCCCTCTCTCGACTTTTTGCCACTTTGATGTTGCTCTTCCTTTCTGTGAAGCCCGAAGTCAACTAAAGGGCTAATGATACCTATCATAACGCCTGCCATTTGAAATAAATAAATAAGTTTCAGAATATTGTTCCTCACAGTTCTAAGGCGAGGAGGAGGCGAGAGGGCAACTTCCAGCTGAGTGAGAATTCAACAATTCTGAGATAAGGCGCTTAACGTGGTGGTCTAGTGATAATGAAAGATAAGAATTTATTATTTTGACAAATTTGCGCACACTACTAAAGCCGTAACATTTAAATATTCTAACTCAAAATTCGATGAGAATCGGCATTGCAATTATTATCAACTGGATTATCTTTTATCTACAAAGAGGCTCAAGTCAAAAATCTGACAACATTAACAGGATAAGAGTCGCCATAGTAGAAACTGTCACTCAAGGATAGTGAAATTTGAATTCTTCCATATTTTTAATGAAATTAGCTAAGACCTAATTCAAGGCTGTTAAAATAAGCAATTCACTTGAAGGAATATTTGAAGGCAACATTATTGTTGATCATTAGGGCTTTGTGACACAGGAAACGAAAGCATTCAGGAAAAGTTGGTCTTAAATTGTCTAATTCCTTTAGATTCGATTCGTGGAGATGCCTGGGAGTGTCTAAAATCAATAATGGGTGAATGGCATAGCAATTAAGATATAGCCAAACTAATTTAGGTTAGTTACGTAAAAATTAAACCGTCCTTAGATTTGAACTTCTTCATCGTGTTCAGTTTTCTCAATTTTTGGTAGAGAGAAGTCGTTACATTTAATCAATTTGAGTAGTTTCAGGTCATGATATGCCTATAAAGGAAGAGTGTTGAAGGTCGGATGACCAAGCTTCATAGTTGCATTAATGACAAATCTCCGGCGAGTTCTAGAAACATCTCGTCATTCTTTTCAAAAGGATAAAATCCACGTTAAATTACTCAGGTGACCTAAAACTCAACCCTCAAGTTTCCATGGTATTTCATACTAGCGATCTTCAGGACTTCTTGAACGAACGATTCAATTTAATGTTTGGTTATACCACTTTAGTTGATTTACTCTACCGTAGAGCCATGATCAAAACTTTCCCTTTTACTCAAAAAGAGCAGAAATAAAATTTGAAGATTTCAATTCTTTAGAAGTCCTATGCATCCTGGGTAGCATGCGTTATTGTCAGTCTCTTTCATTTATTTTTAGCGTTTTGGCATTTGTCTTTATTTCCACACTTCTGAATTTGAGAAAGCGTATCAAATTCATCTGTATGTAGGAGAATTTCTTACAACCGATTTGACCAAATTTAAAAGAATTGGTGGTGAGGACACTCCAAAACCAAGTCATTTTCACTGCAAGCTAGTCGGCATTTTATTACTTCTAGAATGGTATGTATAGTTTACTATGAGACGAATCCAATCAATCACGTTGTCACTCTACCGAAAGGAAGATTATTTATCCATATGGACACTTCAATGTTCAAGTTAGTGAGTGTTTAAAGCTAAGTTTTTATTGACTATTTGCTATTACTTATAATTAATTAGTAGCCTAGACGTTCGCAAAGAGCAAGATAATGTGATTATTTATCTTGGTACATCAACAGTTCAGTACCATATTTACTTAAGCCAGAGTTGAAAAGAGTAGGATAAAAGAAAATTAGAAAAGAAATGTCCAAAGATTTCCACTTTCGCTTGGTAGTATTACTCATCTCTAACGAGTTTCATAGTTTGTAAATCCATGATGCTTACGCTATTTTCTGAAGTCATTAAACATATTCTATTCCTGATAATAATTTATTGAAAAAAAAGTTTGTTAAACAAACTGCAACTTACAATATCAAAAATAACTGGCGATTGATTGCCTTAATTTCAAACCTTATAAAAAAATAACCCCGAAAAAAATACTTTAAATTACATGACTAGAATTGTTGCAGAAAAATATATTAATAAAAGTAATGAAAAAATGCAGTCATGAAATGGCAAAAGCAACGAAAAGTTCAAAACAATGCAAGGTCCGATAAGTTACAAACACAAATTCTGGGGTGGAGGTAAAAGGGGAATGTGCGAAAAGGCATCTTCCCCTTCGTTGAAATAGGCTTCCAATTCTTCGACAGAGAGGTTTTCTTCGCACGAAAACACCTCTTCAGGCTGATAACCAAAGTCTTCTAGAGTTTCAGGATCCTTTGCCTTTTCTTGCAATAATGACTCATGCGTTTGATTGGAAGAAAAGTCCTGCAGATTTGGAGGGGAATTCGGCCTTTCATCATCTACTACTTCTCCTTTTTCCGATTTTTGAACACCATATCCTATAGCCGAATGATTTGAATTACGAATAAAAGATAAATCTCACATAATATAGAAATCTTAGAATAAAGAGATGCATTTTAATTAAAAAACAGTGGCACTCTAAGTTGATAAAAGGGAATACTGAAAATATCTGCCTTGGAGTATATGGAAGCAAGTAGTGTACTCCAGTGACGAAACAATTGCCAACAATATTAAAATATGAAATCTGTGAGCAACGAACATCGACGAAAGCATGAACTAACAAGTTAATATTCTCTTAATTGAAATCCTATAAATTTAATGAGCAACCTTCCCAACACTACAAACAATAAAAGCACAAACTTTCAAAGTCTGTTATCCTAAATGGTTCCTAACAAATCCTTAAAAGTAATACAGATAGTAAACAAAAATAATTAAATCGGAGGCGATTGGGACAAAAATACTAAGTTAAGCACTATGGGTAAGAATACATTTTCAGCCAATTCTTTCATTCTCAAATGACAGTTAACCATAAAACTCATTTAAAAAATTTGATTATCCAAGATCATATAAATAAGTTATTGTATAAATACTATTGAACTAATTTCAAAACCCAGTATGCTCTCGGTAAATTCCTAACCAAAGATTTGATTCGCACATGATGATGGATCTTAGCAGAATTGCATTAATGAAAAATTAAATTAACGAAATGACCAAAAGAAAATACATATCTAAGACAAAATGCGGACATGATAAAAGATGTGGAATGGAACTAACCAAAGTGGAAAAGTGTAGATAACAAATAGGGAAGAAAAGACCCTAAGGTGAATAAACATAATATGCTAAATAAAGTCGTCAGTGATTGACCGAAGCCATACCGCTTTAAAACCTGCAAAATCAAACAATCTTTATGGAGATAGCAAAAGCCCAACGCAGACCTACGAAATGAGATTATGCGAATCTAAACATAAATTTTAAAAGTTGAGTTACCTCCACTTGGATGGAAAAATTCGCAGCCGTCACCAAAAGCACAGTGACCGTTCCGATAAAAGCGGCATGTTCGTAACACCATAGTACTACGGGGAGGAACTCTGAAAAGAATAGAAAAAAGTGAGTCGTACTGACTTGACCTGGTTGAACAGACAAACCAAGTAGGTTAACGACATCAATATCACAATACAATAAGGCTCAAATAATGGTTGAAAAATTACTTATATGACTAGCGAGGAAGGCTACCAAAGCATAAGGATCGGCCAAATTAATAACCTTTGTGTCCATTGAGAATCGTAGGGATCGATGTGAAGAAAAGGACAGCGAAATCCATTTCTACAGTAACCGGCTAAATAATAACGACATCTTCTAGAACTCATGTTGATCAATAAGGCCTAAATATGAGAAATAGCATTCTATTTGAAAAAATGCATTGATAAAAGGAGATACAAAATAGCTATATACAAAACAAGTGTAAATTAAATATTTACAATTAAAATAAACATGTAATCTATCCTGTTTTTAATTGAAACTGGAAGGTAGATGAAATTGAAATTACTAGAATAACCAGAACATACACGAACATAAAGATCTTAAATAGCACACTGATCGAATGATCAGTTCCAATTGGTTAGTAATTGAAATTTTTCTAGGTGATTAATTAACTTAATATAGTAATTAAAAGTTAATGAATTTGATATCCACTCATCAACTTTTTTTATTGGTTTTGAAACCGCGGTTATTTTTTAGTCATAAGTTTCTGTTTTCGAAACCAGTTTATAATACAATGAGCTATGTTCGATTAATATTTTTTGATAATTCAACGAAGATTCGAATTAGGGTATTCTCTTTATTAATATTTGCAAATTGCAACGCCCTTGCCTATGTAAACTTGTGAATGAATGACTTTAAAGTGCCAGTTTTAATAGTGAATTACTAAATGCGGTTTTAATTATAGCTGCATGTTAAACTTCATTACTATTTCAATCTTGAGCCATGTTAACAGCGAAGATATAAAATGGTTTCCATTACCAACTCGGTCACAATTTAAAGTTGTAATAGACACTTAATTATGAAGAGTACATCGCGAGAAAATGTGACTGTTGGTGCCGGGGTAACTCGGTAACCAGCGGTCAATTGTCAATGCTAAGTAATATAGAGCTTTGTGTCCGTTAAAAAGGCTGTAATAAACTCTATTCGGGTCGTGTATTCTATATCCTAGATACTATTGCGGTATATTAGCTAATTTCGAAGAAGTTTTATTCTAGTTGTTTATCCAAGGCTTTTATATATACATTGTAATAGTATATATAGGTAACAACTTATTGACTTAGTTCTCAACGAATTATTCTAGAATTTATAAAACTCTTTAACGTGGATAAACTTAGCTGAAAGCTTAAATATCAAGAAGCAGCAAAAGTGCGAGTCAGAGAAACCGAAGAACTCTACTTTGCATTGACCATAAAATTATCAGGTAAATTGTTGTTTTGAGTTGAAGCTCTCCTGAATTCTCTACTCTATTTTCTGTTTTTTACCATCTTCTTTCTTGTAAAATTCTTTCCCTTATTTATATTTCATAATGTAATGTTGACGTCATCATCTACTACTCCATGGGCAGGGTCGTAAATATTTATTTTACCTTTATTCGAGTATTAACAATTAAATTTTCGATCTTAGAAATTTCACTAGCCAGTTTATAACATTATTGAATAGACTTATACCATATATTTTGGACCCGATGTTGGCAAAATACCTCACTCAATTGGTATTTTTAATTGCTTATTTTGAATGATGATTGATCCACATTATCAAAATTAGTTTTAAAGGAGTTGTTGAGACTAAAAATTTCTGTTATGCTAAAACATCTGCATTTGCATACTTAAGATGTCACAACAACCACTCAAGTCCTGAAAATCGTTTTAGTATGACTTTCAGATCTTCATATTTTGGGTCCATTTGCTACGCCTCCTTCCCTGGTAAATGCTTCATTCAATTTCTGACTTTGCGATTTGGGCTATTTAAATCTTATCTAATATTTCAGTAGAGTTTTAGTGCTCATACGCCTGATATAATTGCACAAGAGGAGAAGAATAATTAAAAATTAGAACTTTCCCGAAACTCTGATAGGCGGTTTCTTTCAATAAGGAATGCCTGTTCAGTCGACCCTCTTAAACTAAGGACAAGTTGAGGATTAATAACTCTCTTATATAAAGTTTAGCCTTCTTCAATCTATTGATACGTAGTAATGTTGACTGTATCAAGAAGATTAAAACTTTTACTGCTGACAGGGTCAATTCTAACTCAATTGAGCTTGCATATATTGTTTATCTGGGTATCCAGCCAGGATCAATTCATTGAACGCTTTTTACCAAAATTCATTAAAGGTTTTTTTGAAAAGGAGTTTATCGTATGAAAAATCACTTCACTCAAGTAGTTCATTCAGATTCAAACTTGAAGCCAATTTTAATGGACATTTAGCCAACTCAAGTCCTTCATCAATTACGCGATAGATGCTCCCTGAGCAAGGTATACCCATAAATTCATAAACCGGCAGTTAGCTCATCCCTTCAAACTACCATGACTCGACTGTATGTCATATTCTCTTTTCCCTTTTCTCTACCTTTGTATCTGTCTCAATTACATCTATAAATCACTCTTCACCCCTCCCCCTCAAAATTTTCTGATTTTAATGTTCCTCCAATCTGTAGAGCACAAAGTCAACTAAAGGGTTAATGATAAATATCATAAATTCTGTCATTTGATACAAATTAATATTTGTTTCACCTGATGACTCCAAGCTTTTTTCTGACATTTCCTATCCACCAAAGTTTTACTCAACCTGACTAACATTCTCCCAATACTTGGGAATTACTTTGGAATTCCTATATTACCTGCAGCTCCCAATTATCTCCTGCAAGCCACTGATACCTCTGTCACAATTTGACCTAATTTTATGTATGTACTTTCCAATAGCATATGCGACTTGACCGAATTCGAGAGGCTTAGTTGGGGAATAGATTGTAGATAATTGATATCGATAAAACTTAATTTATTTCAATTAAGCTGTCTTAATCCTCTTTGTTTGGAATTCTTTTGTTGCTCAACTACATAACAAAGCCGAAATTCAATTGTATTTGGCAAGCAGCAATAGTCAAGACAGCCTAAATCGGAAACAATGCAGGTTTGCAGATATTTGGCTTTCTGTTGTTCTGTATTTGTGGACATAGTCATAGTTTTTTTGAAGATGTTTAGCATTTTATTTGAATCAACAAAATGGGTGTTTGAAATGAAGTCAATAATCTTGTCTAGTTTCATAAGCGCTTCATAGCAGTTAAGCCCGATATATTCATGTGTTTCTTAAATCTAAACTTATTGAATCCAATATTTTGACAATTTTGACATCGGAACACTTATAAATAGTCAAAAGTATGGACAGTGTCATTTAATTAAATGCGCTCGCGCCTTTTGAATTGGCATTGATTAAACCGAATTTCTATTCCTACCTTCCTGACTTAAAATGACAACTTTTATGAGACTATTTAAGCGACGAAGTGCGAATCAAACAATGCTTGTTCCAAGAAGTAGAAATGCAATCGATTATTTCATTTCCTTGTCTTTCATAAAAACTGCGCGATTCTCTCTCTCTCTCTCTCTCTCTCTCTCTGAGAATTTCTCCATCTAGTTTTTTCTTAGATGACGAGATTTTCAATCTGAACTATTAAGTGCTGATTTGGCTCCAATAGCGATGTGTAAAATTGGAATGGTCTCCTAAGATCGAGGGAAGGCGTAAAAGTGAAGATAAAAATAATTGTCAGAGGTTTAATACAAGGCTTGGCTTGATATATTCATCTTTAAAAATTATAAGATATATACAAGTTTGACTAATTATTAGTGTGGCAGTGGTTATCATGTCCGTGTGCAAAACCAGAGGTCAAGAGTCCATGACCGTTAGCACTTAATAAGTGAGAGATTAAGTCCTGCTATTTCAGGGTCCGACAAAATCCGAATTTCTCTTTACCAATGCCCAGTGATGCTAGCTTTTAGACTAGATAAGTATATTGAAAACACTTTCCCAACTACGCTTGGAAATTATAAGTGTGGGCAATGAACGATTTCATTGCTACTTAAATCTCGGTAACTCTTTAAAGACGTATTCTTTAATTTAATTTCATCGAGCTTGCATTCTTAAGTGCTTTATTTTGACAGCTTAGCAAGAAACTCAAAGAGTTTTAAGACAGTTCTTACCGAGGAAGAATCATCGCAATTCCCGACACTTCGCAGGAAAGAATAAAAGGTAAACCAGAGTCCATCGATTTGGACATAAATGTTCAATTTTGCTTTGATTAAGATTATCGAAATTTAAGTATTTCTGGAAAACCATTATTTCTAAATAGCGTCTGACATCGATAAATCATAACGTGAAGGAGAAAACAATCTTTGTGAGTGATCGCCATGGTTTTTATCTTAATTCACTTTGTAAATATGGTATTAAAATGTCGCCATATTCCCATTACAAAATCATTCCCTTTGTCCAATTCACGCATCCAAGTCAAGTCAATTTATTTGGTCCCTGCCAGCCTCTTATTAGCACATTCTGCTACAATTTAAATAAGATGATGATCATATTTAAGCAGTGAGGATATGGATTTTATAGTTACGTTTAGATTTTTTTATTCAGACTTGTTTATCTCGCCTGCGCATGTAAAAGATTTGGTAGCTGAAGTATGAAAAAAGAAACTGATCGACGGCATCTTTTTCCAGACACCGCAACTTTAACTGCCTTTATTTGTTTATTTATTCAGCATAACCTTTATTGGGCGAACAAACGTTAAATAAAATTTTAAGCAGTCAAAACGGAGTGTTATCTGCGGAACATTATTATCATTATATCAAATGGCAGGCGTTTTGATAGTTATCATTAGCCCTTTAGTTGACTTCAGGCTTCACAGAGGGGAGGAACATTAAAGTGAAAACAGAACAGAACAGAAGAGTGTTTCAAAGACGAAGGTAGATAAGGTGGAAAAAAGGTGAGGTGAGTACTGTGAAAGTAGTCGAATATGACATACAGTGGGGTCATGGCAGTTTGAAGTCAGAAGTCAACTGCCGGTTAATGGACTTTTTCGCCGTATGAGTATACGTTGCACGGGGTGCACCACGTGGAGTTAAGTCTATCACACACCTCATCTGCGGAACATTAAACATTTAGCACTTTAATGCCCCTTCGGTTAAGTAAAAATTGATTATAACAGCACAGAGATTATTTTAGTGGTTAATTAATTTTTTGGTTGAAGTAATTTAAAAAAAGACGATGAAAACATTGCATTTTCCTACAAGTCGTTTAATTATGTATCGAATGTATGCTTATTCAACTCCGGGCATG